ACTGTGTGTGTGTGCGCGTTTAGTTTGAAAGAGCTCCCTGTCCTGCCCTCTGTCCTATAGAGCTCTCCCTTCCATCCCATAGAGGTCTCTCCCCTACCTCCCTTAGTGGTCTTTTCTCCCCGACTTTCCATTAGTGGTCTCCCGTCTCCCCCTTAGTGGTCTCTGCTCTACTCTGCCCCCCTTTCCATTAGTGGTCTCTCCTCACCCCCCCTCCCCTAGTGGTCTCTACACCACCCCCTCCCTCCTTTAGTGGTCTCTCTCTCCCCCATGTTCTCCTCAATCCCCCCCTCCCTGTGTTCTTGTCTCCCCCGTGTTCTCTTCTTCTCCCCCCGTGGAGAAGATTACAGGGAGGGGGGAGGGGGAGAAGATTACAGGGGGGAAGTGGAGAAGATTAAAGGGAGGGGGGGAGTGGAGAAGATTAAAGGGAGGGGGGGAGTGGAGAAGATTAAAGGGAGGGGGTAAGTAGAGAAGATTACAGGGGGGGAGTGGAGAAGATTACAGTGGGGGAGTGGAGAAGATTACAGGGAGGAGGGGGAGAAGATTACAGGGGGGGAGAGGGGAAGTAGAGAAGATTACAGGGAGGGGGGAAGTAGAGAAGATTACAGGGAGGTGGGGAGAAGATTAGAGGGGCAAATCTTTCTTTTGCCTAGGGCGGCAGAAATCCTTGCACCGGCCCTGCATAAAGGTTATAGGTCACATGGCCTGCCAGCTATCTTGTTTTGGTGTCTAGCTTTCTGCAATATTGAGTTGTGTTTTTCTCCAGGAGCACATGCTCCAAGTGTACAAGTCATTGTGAGAGTATACTGTAATTAGAAGGAAGAGCGATAGATTAGGCACAACATTTTCTCTACAACAGGTTTGTAGGTTTGGGGTTTTCCCTCCCTATTACAAAATTGGAGGTGTGTGTGAGATATATATATATATATATATACAAACACACACCTCCCCCCCCGCCGCTGCCGCCAGGTCCTACAGAATGTCAACCCTAATCACCTTCAAGGTGTTAGTTCGCCTGGGCAGGGCCCACTCCACATACTGTTCAAACATAGTTTGTTGCCATTAAATGTTTCTTGTTATGTATTGTACAATACAGTGGAATATGTTACTATAGTCACCAGAACAACTACAGCTTATTGTATTCGTTCTGGTGAGTAAAATCAATCCCTTCAGGCTTTTTTTCCCAGTAGACTGTTCTGAAAACTGCGTGTCAGTAAACTCCTTAATATATTGCCTTCAGGAAGGTATCGAACTAATAAAAATCACAGGCAAAGCTCATTGCTGCCCTAACGCTAACCCTACTGTAGCCCAAATCTAACATCTTACCCTAGCTCTAACACTAACTTTACCCAGACTAGTATAACTAAAACCCACCTGATCGAAAAGAATAGTTCAGGAAATAATGCCTCCCCCTGGTTGTGGACATTCCACCTTTTGGTCCCTTTCTGACTTTCCCATAGTTCAGACTTTCTATAATATATCTATATATGTTTGCTATCTAATGTATGTGTGTTCCTGAGCAATTAAAACAAATATAAATACAGACATGTATTGCCATACCCCATCACGCTCGGCCAGCCTAAAGTCTAAATCTGCAAGCTCTTGTCTCCTGTGTTGTCGTTGTTGTGTTTTATAGTTTGCGCATGACTATATTACTGAGAACAAATTCCAGACACCAATAGAAAGGGTTATTTGTAGGATTTAATTCTTTACAGTTGATTCCAAAATTAACTTGGGGTTCTGTTGTGACATATATATTTATAGGATTCTTACAAACATTTGACGTTGTGCAATTTAAGGCTACGTTATCGAGCCCTGGCAGGTAAATCCTTTAATCAGATGGTGTGCACAGTACTGCAGGAATGGACTTCTTTAAATGTTGGCAAGAGCATTGCAAAGGATTCTGGGCTTCAGTTAGAATAGACATAGCTTCGATGTGGTGCTGCTGCCAGCGTTTACTTGGCACGGGGGTTTCTGAAGCTACGACCAGCAAACTTAGCCTTATCTCCGAGCTCCTCTTCAATCCTGCGGGAGGAAAGGAAGTGGTGAGTCTGGTACAATGTATGTCAGGAGAGGCTGGCACTAATGCTGTATGTACCTGGTATGATGTAGCAGTGTGTTAGGTTTGTTGTATTGCTGTCTGCACTGTATCTGTGTATGCATGGCATGGTGTAGCAGTGTATTGCTGTCTGCACAGTATCTGTGTATGCATGGCATGGTGTAGCAGTGTGTTGCTATCGACACTGTATCTGTGTATGCATGGCATGGTGTAGCAGTGTGTTGCTGTCTGCACTGTATCTGTGTATGCATGGATGGTGTAGCAGTGTGTTGCTGTCTGCACTGTATCTGTGTATGCATGGATGGTGTAGCAGTGTGTTGCTGTCTGCACTGTATCTGTGTATGCATGGATGGTGTAGCAGTGTGTTGCTATCGACACTGTATCTGTGTATGCATGGCATGGTGTAGCAGTGTGTTGCTGTCTGCACTGTATCTGTGTATGCATGGATGGTGTAGCAGTGTGTTGCTGTCTGCACTGTATCTGTGTATGCATGGCATGGTGTAGCAGTGTGTTGCTGTCTGCACTGTATCTGTGTATGCATGGATGGTGTAGCAGTGTGTTGCTGTCTGCACTGTATCTGTGTATGCATGGCATGGTGTAGCAGTGTGTTGCTGTCTGCACTGTATCCTGTGTATGCATGGATGGTGTAGCGGTGTGTTGCTGTCTGCACTGTATCTGTGTATGCATGGCATGGTGTAGCAGTGTGTTGCTGTCTGCACTGTATCTGTGTATGCATGGATGGTGTAGCAGTGTGTTGCTGTCTGCACTGTATCTGTGTATGCATGGCATGGTGTAGCAGTGTATTGCTGTCTGCACTGTATCTGTGTATGCATGGCATTGTGCAGCAGTGTGTTGCTGTCTGCACTGTATCTATGTATGCATGGCATGGTGTAGCAGTGTGTTGCTATCGACACTGTATCTGTGTGTTTATGAATGGCATGGTGTAGTGTATGTAGGATGCACACCTTGCTGTAGTGAAGTTGTTCAGACACTAGATATTCTTACCTCATGAGCTGGTTGTATTTAGAAAGTCTCTCTGACCGACATGGAGCTCCTGTCTTAATCTGTCCAGAAGAGAAATAACATGTGTGAAGAGAACGGAGTGGTGAGCTTAGTCTTTATCATTCCAATGTATCATGTCTTCCCAACGCACGCATTCACATGATCCTTCATTCCCCCGGCACTCATAACCAGATGCTGCCTATATATATTAGGTTATTCTGTAAATCATCCTTCATTCACTCTTCACCACTCTACCACCTCTCTTACTCCTTCACTATTGTCTCCTATCCTTTCGAACCTTGCTGTCCTTTCTGTTTGTAGCTATCCTCCCTCCTATTGTTTGTTCCCAGTTTGTCAATCAGTTCCTTTTTCCCATTTATTTCCATCATTGCTCCTTTCTTACCTGTCCAGTACACAGTCCCACCACCAGGTCGGCAATAAATGTGTCTTCAGTCTCTCCAGAACGATGACTCACCATAACCCCCCATCCATTGGACTGAGCCAATTTACACCTGCAGAGATACTCGGTATCACTAGATGTACAATTTATATCCACTTTTATAACGTGCCTAACAGTGGCACCAATAGTTCCAGGTGGAATCCATCTTCCGTTTTATATACATTACTGATTGTGTGAACATTCACTGCATAGCTATTGGCGGTACTCGACAATACTCCAAAAGAGAGTATTACTACTGGGTAATCCTGAACAATGGGCACTTGGGTACTGACTAGGAAACATGCTCAAAACAACCGAAGATAATTAGAAGTGTGGCAGCATTGTGCTGTCTATACCAAGAGTACTTTTTGTAAATAATATATCTATTTTTCTCTCTGTAACAATTCATTGTGGTGACCGGACCATGAGATTAATGTCCATATGGGTAACTAACTCTACGATGGCTGGCAGGAGGCAGTTATTCAATTGCCCCTTGTACACAGAGAAAGATTAATTCTGCCAAAGAGCACAGCCAATGGGGAAGTAGGGGTTAGTGCACTAGAGACATCACCAGCGACAGCAGATCAAGTGAGTTAAAAGTGAAAAAGGGACTAATTTCTAATCAATACATCCAGTTATGCACAGCCTTGAATACAGCTTCCTTATTGGAGTTGACACAGGGTGACCAAGGTCCAGATATTGTACTTACGCCTGGATGGACTCGGTGACTGAGCCAATCTGGTTGACTTTCAGGAGCAGACAATTACATGCTTTCTTTTCCACAGCCTGCTGGATTCTCTTGGGATTGGTGACAGTTAAATCATCTCCAACTATCTGGATATCAACTGTGCTCTGGAAACTCTTCCAAGTTTCCCAGTCGTCCTGGTCAAATGGATCTTCAATGGAGACCACTGAAAGGGGAAACACCATCATAATAAAGTACTGTATGGGAGGGACACCCTCCGTCTGTCTCTCTCGCTCAACATCACTCTATGAGTACCATGAACAACATACCTGGGTATGACTTAATGAAGCTCTTATACAGATCTCCCAATTTCTCTCCTGAGATGTAACGAGTTGGGTCATCCGGGGATTTGAAGTCAAGGTCGTATTTGCCATTGCGGTAGAATTCTGAAGCAGCCACGTCCATACCAATGACAATCTTATCAGTGTAGCCAGCTTTCTCGATAGCTGATTTAAGTAGCTCCAAGGCTGTAGATCAGTGTTTTATAGTAGTTATTATTCATTGCCGACTTATTTTACAAAAAGAGGCATGTGTGAGGTAGCAGCAGCAGCAGAGCAACCTTAGGTCAAGATAGGTTTCACTTTTCCCTTTTTATATATATTAATTTACCTGTACAGCAGGTAATATTCCTTTATTTAGTCAACATTCATCCATCTGCGCACTTGATGTTACACCATTTATTATTTATTTAGTCCATGTTTATATTATTAGTATTCTCTCACAGTGGCCTCCTTACCTTCATTGTTCTCCAGAATGTTGGGAGCGAATCCACCTTCATCACCGACATTGGTGGCATCCTTTCCATATTTGGCCTTTATGACATTTTTCAGGTTGTGGTAGACCTCTGCTCCAATACGCATTGCCTCCCGGAAAGTAGAGGCCCCCACGGGAAGGATCATGAACTCCTGCATGGCCAGCTTATTCCCTGCGTGTGAACCCCCGTTGATGACATTAAAGGCCTGGTGAGAGACAAAGGCCGTGAAGATGTTAACATAGGAGACAATACTAGGAGCAAAGGAGAAGGAACAGTGACAGAATAAAAAAAAGAAAGGAGAGAAAATAGTGACAGAATGAATACGGGGAGAGGAGAACAATGACAGAATGAATATAGGGAGGTGAGGGAATAGTGATAGAATGAAGAGAAGGGACAGTAACAGAGGAGGGACAGTAACAGAAAGAGTCGAGGAAGGACATGGCACCGTTATAGCAGTGTTTCCCAACCCAGTCCTCAAGGCACACCTACCAGTCCAGGATTTAGGGATTACCCAGTTGTGTCTAAGGTGTTTTTTTTCTTCTTTGTAAAAACACCTTAGACACAACTGGGTAATCCCTAAATCCTGGACTGGTATGTGTGCCTTGAGGACTGGGTTGGGAAACACTGCGTTATAGGATAATCTAGGTATATTTAAAGCACTGCTCACAGGGACGGGAAGGATGAGGTCAGGGTTTCCGGCCAGGTCAGCGATGTGACGGTATAAGGGGACACCTTTCTCTGCTGCACCAGCCTTGCACACGGCCAGAGAAACACCCAGGATGGCATTAGCACCAAATTTAGCTGCAGGAGCACAATGTATCAGTGTGAATTTTTCTGCAGAGATACATCAACAGCAACAAATGCAGTATTACACCTCTCTTCAATTCATGACTGTATCCCGCTCTGCTACTTACACTTATTTTCTGTCCCATCAAGTTCCAGCATCACTTTGTCAATCTTTTCTTGTTCCACAACACTAAGTTTCTAAAACGATAGAGCAGAAGTCAGACATTTATTTATTAACTCACCACTATTTATATTATTATACCTTCATCGATCCTCATACCTTCTCCAGCAAAGCCGGTACAATGGTCTTGTTGATGTGATCCACAGCCTTCAGAACACCTATGAGACATGGCAGATTGCAGAGCGTTAGACCAGAACTTCAGAGTGTCATCAGTTAAAGTCCAAGAGATTCACAGATATAACCCTGAATCTGTCTGTCACTAGGTGAACCACATTTAACCTCCCCGGTCTAACAAGAGTTGCTTGACAAAACTATGGTGCAATCCCAATGCCAGTTTAAAATAACGACAGGTCAGAATAGCAGTTTCATCTCTGAAAATACAATATAACCAAGATTCTAGGGCCTTCAGAGGACCACCCTTACCTGAACATTGGCCTCTATGTGGACCCTGGGCCACACCTGTCACACTATCTGGCAGGTGATGACATATATTATTATGTCAAAGTGTCATAACGCTGACATCCTCGAGGTATTGAGAGTTGTGTTTGTACATCATGATGGTGAATTATGCCATTGATGTTACCTTGAAAGCCACAGTTTAATCATGATACACAAGTATGGCTCAGCTCACACATAAAATATTTAAGAATTTGAAAAAAATTATAACCACATGTTCCATGTACAAAATATGGGCATTTTGTTGTATCATATTGCCACTCTATTATATCCCATTTTTACACTAGAAAGGTGATTTGTTCAAAATATTCCCTCACGTTTCATGGGCCCAGAACATGCTTAAGCAAGTTACGCAGAGAAACTAGAGGGATCAGCTCCACCTCTGAGCCTCGGGAATGTGGAATGTGGTCCAGCCAAGCTAGAGAAACCAACCTCAACTCTCCTCTTACTGCTAATAGCCCAAAATATGTTATCTAGTACTGTTCTAGTTCCAGTGACTCACAGGTCATGACTTACAAATTTCTCCCATCATTGTACCATTTACCCCAAATCCTGAAACGTTTCATTTTCAGTTAGATAGTTTTATGCTGAACCTGCTCGCCCCTGACAGAGATCCTTGTTCCACCAGTGTTGGGACTTCCCAGTTATAAGGCAATTCAGGAATCTCAGACATCGAATGACCCTTTCCCCCTGTCCCTGTGTTTCTTCATCATATCATCGTATTATGATCTGTCTACAAAGAAAACCTTACGATATGCTATTTGAATATTGACAAGAGTCTGATCCCTCTTCCTTGGAGACCACATTGGCTCACATCTCATAATATGGACTTCCAAAACAAGCCATCTCTTGTATAACAAACCTCTATCAGATCACACAGTTATGCTACCAAACATTCGGCTCCATACAATTGTCTCACCTTTGCCCAAATATCGGCTCTTGTCTCCATCCCTCAGCTCAAGAGCCTCATATATTCCAGTGGACGCCCCACTGGGCACAGCCGCCCGGAAGAGACCTGGAAGCAAAACATATGTGTCACATCAAGACACTGAGAATTCCAGTCTATGTGTTACCAGCTGGACATTGACCCACCTTTGCCTGTGTACAGGTCAACCTCTACTGTAGGGTTTCCCCTGGAATCCAGGATCTCCCTGGCGTGGATCTTCTGAATGGACATGTTGCCTATAAGATAGGAAAAACTGGTTTTATAGGATTATTAAGCATCTTTAACCAGGTAGATGGATACACTGGTATACTGGAATATACTGGAGAAGAAAAGGGGAATGATTAAAGGACCCCTATAGTGCGAGGAAAACACTAGGGGGTGGAAGGGGTTAAATTTACCTCTTTTTCCGGCGGGGGACTCTCCTCTCCTCCCTCTTCTGATGTCCCTGGCTGAATGCGCATGCACGGCAAGATCCGTGCGCGCATTCAGCCAGTCTCATAGGAAAGCATTCTCAATGCTTTCCTATGGATGCTGGCATCTTCTCACTGTGAAATTCACAGTGAGAAGCGCGGAAGCGCCTCTAGCGGCTGTCAATGAGACAGCCACTAGAGGCTGGATTAACCCTATTATAAACATAGCAGTTTCTATGAAACTGCTATGTTTATAGAAGAAAGGGTTAATCCTAGCTGGAACAGGCACCCAGACCACTTCATTAAGCTGAAGTGGTCTGGGTGCCTACAGTGATCCTTTAAATTGGTGGGGAGCAGGGGGATGGATACACATGAACACGGATTATGAACATACTACTCTGTATCATAATATCTATATCTATATGCTGATAACGAACATGCCATGCTGTATAATGATACTGAGTATCTATACACTGATAATGAACACCCTGCTCTGTATAATGATACTGAGTATCTATACACTGATAATGAACACCCTGCTCTGTGTAATAATAATGAGTATCTATGAACACAGCGCTCTGTATAATGATACTGAGTATCAATACACTGATAATGAACACACCGCTCTGTATAATAACTGAGTATCTATACGCTGATAATGAACACACCGCTCTGTATAATGATCGAGTAGCTATACACTGATAATGAACACACCGCTCTGTATAAAGATACTGAGTATCTATACACTGATAATGAACACACCGCTCTGTATAATGATACTGAGTATCTATACACTGATAATGAACACACCGCTCTGTATAATGATACTGAGTATCTATACGCTGATAATGAACACACCGCTCTGTATAATAATACCTGAGTATCTATACACTGATAATGAACACACCGCTCTGTATAATGATACTGAGTATCTATACACTGATAATGAACACACCGCTCTGTATAATGATACTGAGTATCTATACACTGATAATGAACACACCGCTCTGTATAATGATACTGAGTATCTATACACTGATAATGAACACGCCAGCTCTGTATAATAATACTGAGTATCTATACACTGATAATCAATAATACTGAGTATCTATACACTGATAATGAACACGCCGCTCTGTATAATAATACTGAGTATCTATACACTGATAATGAACACACCGCTCTGTATAATGATACTGAGTATCTATACACTGATAATGAACACACCGCTCTGTATAATGATACTGAGTATCTATACGCTGATAATGAACACACAGCTCTGTATAATGATGCTGAGTATCTATACACTGATAATGAACACGCCGCTCTGTATAATGATACTGAGTATCCATACACTGATAATGAACACACCGCTCTGTATAATGATACTGAGTATCTATACACTGATAATGAACACGCCGCTCTGTATAATGATACTGAGTATCTATACACTGATAATGAACACAGCGCTCTGTATAATGATACTGAGTATCTATACGCTGATAATGAACACGCCGCTCTGTATAATGATACTGAGTATCTATACGCTGATAATGAACACAGCACTCTGTATAATGATACTGAGTATCTATACACTGATAATGAACACACCGCCCTGTATAATGATACTGAGTATCTATACGCTGATAATGAACACAGCGCTCTGTATAATGATACTGAGTATCTATACACTGATAATGAACACACCGCTCTGTATAATGATACTGAGTATCTATACACTGATAATGAACACACTGCGCTGTATAATAATACTGAGTATCTATACACTGATAATGAACACACTGCGCTGTATAATAATACTGAGTATCTATACACTGATAACGAACACACTGCGCTGTATAATAATACTGAGTATCTATACACTGATAATGAACACACTGCGCTGTATAATAATACTGAGTATCTATACACTGATAATGAACACACTGCACTGTATAATAATACTGAGTATCTATACACCGATAACGAACACACTGCGCTGTATAATAATACTGAGTATCTATACAATGATAATAAACACACTGCGCTGTATAATAATACTGAGTATCTATACACTGATAATGAACCCACTGCGCTGTATAATAATACTGAGTATCTATACACTGATAATGAACACACGGCACTGTATAAAAATACTGAGTATCTATACGCTGATAATGAACACACTGCACTGTATAATAATACTGAGTATCTATACACCGATAATGAACACACTGCGCTGTATAATAATAATAATGAGTAATTATACACTGATAATGAACACACCACTCTGTATAATGATACTGAGTATCTATACACTGATAATGAACACACCGCTCTGTATAATGATACTGAGTATCTATACGCTGATAATGAACACACCGCTCTGTATAATGATACTGAGTATCTATACACTGTCAATGAACACGCCGCTCTGTATAATGATACTGAGTCTCTATACACTGATAATGAACACAGAGCTCTGTATAATGATACTGAGTATCTATATGGTGATAACAAACATGCCGTGCTGTAGAATGAAACTGAAAATGTTAATTCAGTGCAGACGTTGCCTACGTGAGACATTCTTATCATTGATCCCTAAATATTTCCATGGGAGTCTTATTATAGCCCTGGGTAAAAGTTATTGAAGACAGAGAAAGGGCAGGATGATTATAGCATCAGGCAAAGGTCATCAAAGCAGAGAGACTCTGCCAGACTCCACACCCCCGCCTACACTATGGATACATTATACCATAACCATAATAATGGTACACAGCGCCGTGTACATTGCAATTCAAATGACCAGCTCCTCTAGTGCCTGTTAGTCAGTGAAAGCAGAATACACAATGTGATATAACGTATCTTATCATGCACAGGGTTCTGTAACAGCCAGCTAGAGGGCATTCCACAGCACACGTACAGCACAGACAGCGGCAGTGCCAGCCTCCCCCTCACACACTACTACACCAAGCCATGTATACACAGCACAGGTACAGCACAGACAGTGGCAGTGCCAGCCTCCCCTCACACACACACACTACTACACCATGCCACGTATACACAGCACAGGTACAGCACAGACAGCGGCAGTGCCAGCCTGCCCTCACACACTACTACACCAAGCCATGTATACACAGAACAGGTACAGCACAGACAGTGGCAGTGCCAGCCTTCCCTCACACACTACTACACCATGCCATGTATACACAGCACAGGTACAGCACAGACAGCGGCAGTGCCAGCCTTCCCTCACACACTACTACACCATGCCATGTATACACAGCACACGTACAGCACAGACAGCGGCAGTGCCAGCCTCCCCTTACACACTACTACACCATGCCATGTATACACAGCACAGGTACAGCGCAGACAGTGGCAGTGCCAGCCTTCCCTCACACACTACTACACCATGCCATGTATACACAGCACAGGTACAGCGCAGACAGCGGCAGTGCCAGCCTCCCCTTACACACTACTACACCATGCCATGTATACACAGCACAGGTACAGCGCAGACAGCGGCAGTGCCAGCCTCCCCTTACACACTACTACACCATGCCATGTATACACAGCACAGGTACAGCGCAGACAGCGGCAGTGCCAGCCTGCCCTCACACACACTACTACACCAAGCCATGTATACACAGCACAGGTACAGCACAGACAGTGGCAGTGCCAGCCTCCCCTCACACACACACACTACTACACCATGCCACGTATACACAGCACAGGTACAGCAAAGACAGCGGCAGTGCCAGCCTGCCCTCACACACTACTACACCAAGCCATGTATACACAGAACAGGTACAGCACAGACAGTGGCAGTGCCAGCCTTCCCTCACACACTACTACACCATGCCATGTATACACAGCACAGGTACAGCACAGACAGCGGCAGTGCCAGCCTTCCCTCACACACTACTACACCATGCCATGTATACACAGCACACGTACAGCACAGACAGCGGCAGTGCCAGCCTCCCCTCACACACTACTACACCATGCCATGTATACACAGCACAGGTACAGCGCAGACAGTGGCAGTGCCAGCCTTCCCTCACACACTACTACACCATGCCATGTATACACAGCACAGGTACAGCGCAGACAGCGGCAGTGCCAGCCTCCCCTTACACACTACTACACCATGCCATGTATACACAGCACAGGTAAAGCACAGACAGTGGCAGTGCCAGCCTCCCCTCACACACACTACTACACCATGCCATGTATACACAGCACAGGTACAGCACAGACAGCGGCAGTGCCAGCCTCCCCTCACACAGTATTACATCAGTAAATATATAAACATGTACAAAAAACAAAAATACATAATCTCAGCTGTCAGTTCATACAAATTCAGAAGGAATGTAAAATTAGACAGCTACATCTAATTTCTACATAAAGCTACAAACATACATATTTTATTGTCGTGGCTCTCACCTGAGGGTCTGTTGCTGGGAGGAAGGCAGAGTGTCTGCAGGGCTGTGGACCCACTTTATATAGTGTGTGGGTGGGCACAGCCAGGGAGATCGAGGGGCTGGGCACAGTGACACGGAGAAGGCTGGGGAGTTCACACAGACACTGAATGTATATCTGTACACAGTAACACACACTCATATAGTTCCAGGAGTTGCCAAGAAAGAAGCTGGGGTCGTCTCTTCCTTGAGGTCTCACAAGATATGGCTATGCATCGCCATCGCCAAACAGTTATATTTTTCCTCTCTCATTAGTTCATGCTCCTGCATTCCCAGGCATCTCTTTAACACCTCTAATTCTCTTCTTCGCCCTGCTGTGGCCACCCATCAAACTAACCTTACAGCCGATAGCTTTGCATGCTACTCTACCGACAAGATTGAACAGCTACCCTGCCATTCTCTTTCTAAACCACACGTAGACCATACGTTTCCTACCCTTCAGACTTTCTCCCCGGCTTCTGAACAAGAGGCGGCTGCACTTCTCCTTTCCTCTGGCCCCACCACCTGCCCGCATGATCCTGTCCTATCTCACCATATCAGATCTCTCTCTCCTTGTCTTAACACACATCTTCAACTGCTCTATCTCTTTTGGCGTTGTCCCTGCTGACCCCAAATATTCCACTGTAGTACCTCTGGCGGTCTGCCAAGGTATCACCGCCACGGATATCCTTTATCCCATATAGACAAGCAAATAATCCCACAGTTAAAATATAACTGGTGTAGCATAACCCCCCACACATGAACTGAGGCTTAATGCTGAGAGAAGACTGTTTAATTCAAGTACAGCATCAAATTTATACAGTCAGTAAACTCCTCCCCTGTGCCTGAGAGATAATTAAGTCAGGAACTGTACAAACTCAATTATCTCCAGGGACAGAAAAGTATATCAATTTCAGAACACCCCAAAATACATGGAAACCCCACAAAAGCCACAGGCCTGGATAGCTGGGATCTGGGGAAACAAAATATAAAACAATTGCCCAGATCCATTTGGTAGTTTTGGATTGCCATTGTGGGGAAGTTTTGACCAGTCTGCCACAAGGTTGAAGCCCAAAATAGTTCCAGGGAAGTTGTGGCAAGTTGTGAGCTGAGCTGGGGTTTTGTACAAAAAGCAGATCAGTAGAGAATGCTCCCTGTGAAAGCAGATCAGTAGAGAATGCTTCCTGTGTTCGGTAGTATATAGGCCATTCGTGTAGGTGAAGGGGAATGGGGACGGGCAGCAGGTCCATGATGACCAGGGTTCGCTGGAGTGCCTGGCTGAAATGAGTTCCAGGCACTCAACGACCAAGTCCCACTGCCTGCGTTCGGAAGACAAAATGGCTGCCATCCATTGTCCTAAACAAGTGCGTTGTGGTTTGCGTACAAGATACTTAACGTTCCACGTTCTAATGGGTCTTTTGGGTGGTCTCAGTTTTGGAACCGAACAAAATAAACGAAAAGGAGCTGAAAGACATGGGGTATTCCTTCACAGTACCTATCCTGAAAAAAAAATATCTCGACCTGTCCTCCCCCTCTAACTATCATCCCATATCCCTGCTCCCTTTTTCCTCAAAGCTTCTGGAAAGACTTGTCTTTACACTTATGTCTCACTTCCTCAATTACAACTCTCTCCTTGACCCTCTTCAATCTGGTTTCCTCCCGTCCTCTTACTAATGACCTAATCACAGCTAAATCCAAATATCACTACTCCATGCTAATTCTTCTTGACCTCTTTGCTGCCTTTGACACCGTTGATCATGCTCTCCTTCTTCAAATTCTTCAATCACTCGGTCTCTGTGGTTTTCCTCTTATCTCTCCCAACGCTCATTCAGTGTCTCCTTTTCTAACGAAACCGCCTCCACTCATGGTTTTCCTCTTATCTCTCCCAACGCTCATTCAGTGTCTCCTTTTCTAATGATACCTCCTCTCCTCGTCCTGTCTCAGTTGGAGTCCTCGAAGGCTCTGTCCTTGGTCTCCTTCTATTTTCTCTTTATACTGCCTCTCTTGGCAAACTTATTACCTTATTTGGATTCCACTACCCCCTATACGCTGATGACACCCAGATATATCACTCTTTTCCCCTGCCACCATGCAACGTCACTGTTGCCTTCTTTCCATCTCTGACTGGATGTCGTCCCGCTTTCTGAAACTCAATCTCTCTAAAACTTAGTAACTTGTCTTTCCTCCTCTTAATACTGATCCTCCTCTTTCGCTCTCCCATCAAGTTAGTGGTATTCACATAAGTCCATCCTTGCAAGTCTTGGCGTCATAACTGATTCTGGCCTCACCTTTGAGCCTCACATCCAGTAGGTTGCCAAATCCTGTAGATTCCATCTTAAAAACATAGCCCGCATCCGTCCCTTTACTATGCAAGATGCTACCAAGGAGCTTGTCCATGCTCTAGTAATTTCCCGCATGGATTATTGTAACCCTCTCCTAATTGGTCTTCCCAAAAGCCGTATTACCCCGCTACAGTCTGTAATGAATGCTGCCGCCAGACTGATTTTCCTCTCTAGTTGGTCCTCTGACACCTCACCCCTTTGTCAGTCCTTACATTGGATTCCTGTATCCTATAGGAGTCAATTCAAGGTACTAACCCATACCTATAAAGCATTTAACAATTCTAGCCCCTCCTACATCTCTTCGCAGATCCATAGGTATGCCCCTTCTCGGTCTCCCTGCTCTGCCCTTCTCCTGTCCGCTGCGCGCACACATACGGCCAATTCATGCTTGCAAGACTTCCTGCCTACCGCCATCAGACTCTCTGCGAGTCTTCAATCATTTAATAAGTGCCTTTAAACCCATCTGTTTAGGAAAGCTTAACCTCTGTGACGGACCGCTGGCACTCCGACTGAGTACCTCCGCCAATCGATGCTCCTAGCGCTTGCCAAGGACTCCGAGCACTTCAACCGACACCATCAGCACTTCCAGTGATGCAGCTGCACCGGGGTCTCGCCGTCTCTCACCCACCCTGAATCCACAATCAGGATCCAGCTCCCAGTGGGTGAACCTCTCCTAAATCCAGAGAGCATAGCAGGAACAAATCAAGCTCTTACAAGAGCTTACTCTGGGGAGTAAGTGATTATAGCAATCCCCAGAGTGTAGGTATACCTTCCCTCAAGCATGAGCAAAGGCTTCAAGAAAGGTGTAAGTAGGTCTGGTTTATTGAGGGCTACCTGCCCGGTATTTATGCAAGTGTCCACCAGGTGGACACTCCCCTAGGGGACCTGATGGAACAATGGGACACATATTGGATATTAGCCAATCACAGACAATACAAACAAAACACTCCCACAGTGACATCACAATCCCTCCTCTCTATCCTGGAGATAATTGAGAAGTAATCAAATTATCTCCCAGGACAGAGGCAAGACTCCATTAACCACATGGTTACAAAAAGACATAAAATTACACAATGTTACAATTACTACATAAACCATATACATGCAACATATCCCCAGATAGCTTAGATCTGAATCCATATTATTACCGAATGGCGCTCAGATCACATACATACAGTTCAATCGCCATGGAGCCAAAGTCTTTCCCATAGTCTTTCGTTAAACGAATAGGCTCCATGGCATAGCTATCTGGGGTAGTACTACTCACATACTGAAAGTCCCGAACGTCTCTGCAGAAATACACAAATAAACCTTTCTGCAGGGTAAAATACAGCTATCAGCACAGGGGCCATAGTCGGAAGGCAGGAGGCTAGCCTGTAGTCCCCTCCAGGCACAAGTGGCGAAGGGCACGTCGTCAAAACCTCTACCTTACATACCTGTCTCTTGCTCTTTCCTAAAGGGCAGCACTCTACTCTCTCCTCCAGCTCTGCTTCACTCCCACCTTAATTGATTGCTATTTCCTGTCCTAATGTGTTTTATACCCCACCTCCTATAGAATGTATGCTTGTTTGAGCAGGACCCTCTTCAACCTATCGTTCCTGTAAGATTTCTTGTAATTTTATAACATGACAGGAGACTTCATATTTGCTTAAGTCTCTGTTAAGACACCTCCCGTGTCTTTAAGCCAAACCGCCGTTTAGTAAACCTTCCCCGGCTGCAGTACAGTCTCTGTTCGCTTACTCTGTAACCCACGAACCAAATGCAGGGGAAGCAGCAATCTCCCGATCGAAATCCACGAACGGCTCCAAACTCCCGAACGGCAATATACGAACTGCTAGGAACCGTCGAACAATAATATCCCCAAAGCGGCTTTCGCTCCATCCAGCAGTCTCTAAACGTGAAGAAGAAATCCCCCCAATAACGAGACAGAAGCTCCGCATTGAGGGTCAAATAAGATCTGGGTTTACTGTGGGCTACCTGCCCGTATTTATGCAGGTCTCCCACCTGGTGGACACTCCCCTAGGGGACCAAATGGAAGACTTAAATTACAGACAGATAGAAGGACATTTCTGACACACAGTCACATATTTTACCCACAGTGCATTCTGATTCCCTCCCCTCTGTCCTGGAGTTAATTACCAAGTAACTCAATTAACTCCAGGACAAGGACAGTCGCCATCTTAAACATGAAATAATAAAAGACACAAAATGCATAACTACATGAAAACTGAACATTTCCCATTCGTATTACATGTCCCCAGATAGCCTGGATCTGAGTGCATATTATTGGCGAATAGCGCTCAGATCCCACACACATAGTCAATCGCCATGGAGTCAAAGTTCTTACAGTCCTTCGGTACACGAATGACTCCATGGGTGGGCTATCTGGGTTAAGTCTTTTGTATGTTCTCAATCTCCCGAACGGCCGATGTTCGCATGCTTTCGTGGAGGCAGCCAGGCGTTCCCTTGTTTCAGCGGTGTTCGACAGAAAAAGTGTCCGTTTTCCGTTCCATAGAAATAGAGCCAAAACACCGCTGAGCGTTCGCATGATTTAAAATGGCCGCTGCCTCGTGGTCGACATACGAACGACGACCACCCTGAGTTCGGTTTAATTGAGAAGTGTCTGCGGTTAACCACAACGTTATAATGGTGATCACTTCGTTAACCTGCAGCACACTCCTCACTTGGGTGGCCGCTCGTTCGGCGGTTTTGTTCGGGAAAAAGAGTCATTCGAATGGCTGGGCTATAGAAACCAGCCATTCATACGAACGGGGACAAACAGACGAACGGGCAAAAATCCAGCAGACAGATGGTTCTGTCACACGGCTCCCTCCTTGTGGGACACTCCGGCAGACCCGGCTTGACCCTGTGGCGGGTCAACTTGGGGATGACCGGACTACGAGGTGATGGAAACGTCTGTTTGTCGTGACAACCCATCTGCGTTTCCGCTTAGCTTACCGGGTCTGTAGCTGATGGTAAAATTGTAGGGCTGTAGTGCCAAGCTCCATCTCAGCAGTCTCCCATTGTCTCCTGAGACCCGGTTAAGCCAAACGAGTGGGTTGTGATCAGTCACAAGGGAAAATTCTTGCCCATACAAATAGGGGCTTAACTTTTTCAATGCCCACACCAGAGCCAAACATTCCTTCTCCACTGCCGCATAACTCACTTCTCTGGGTAACAACTTTCTGCTGAGATATGCGACAGGGTGCTCTCCTCCATCTTCCCCGACTTGGCTCAGCACAGCCCCCAGTCCATACATGGAAGCATCTGTATGGACGAGAAAGCGTTTGTTAGGGACTGGGGCAGCCAAGACAGGGGCATTCACAAGAGCCTGCTTCAGTGCCTGGAACGCAGCTTCACAAGCCGGAGACCACAGGACC